GAATTTGATTTAGTATTAGAATTTTTTTAATGTATGTGTTTTTTAAGAGTTCATGATTTTTTCTCAGTCAACTGAAAGATCTTAGAAGCAATGATACTCTTGTAACAATGAACATATCTAACACCCAGTTCTTGGTTTCTAAACACTATCCCCCTTGGGAATTCCCTGGCAGTCCAGTGGACAAGACTCCATCTTCCCACTGCAGGGAGCACGGGTTCAACCACTGGAACTAGGCAGCAGGAACTGGGGGGGAGGGGGAGAGGGGGGGAGGGGGGAGGGGGGGAGGGGAGGACCATTTAGAGAAATTGGAGAAATGAATGATTCCAGGGCAGGGAAAGTAGAATATGAGCCTGGGATATACTTTGTGCCAGAAAGCAAAGAAGACCAAAAAGGCTGAAGAAAGGGTGAGGGGAGGAAAGAAATAGATAAGAAAGATTAAGAGGTACAAACTTCCAGTTGCAAAGTAAATGGGTCATGGGTATGAAATGTACAGTGGGGGGAATGTAGTCAATAACCATGAAAAATAAAAATAATAAAGCATCTTTTTAAAAAAGATTAAAGAAAGCTCAAAGACTAAGGGGAATGTCAAAAGGACACAGGAGACAGCTTAACTTGACTCCCATTGGCCAAATTAGTGGCAATTTGAGTATCAAAATGTGTAACAATGATAATGGTTTATAATGTTAAATTAACATTTCTGTTAATCTATAGTATAGTTAAGTGAAAAAGAAAAGTAGAAACGAAGAGCTCTTCTTTACAGAAGAAACCCAGCTAATAATGATACAAGGAAAAATAGACTAGAAAAAAACAACCATTCTGCAACCCCTGGTGTACTAATTGGTTTCGGCAAGGATTATCAATGGATGGTAAATTATTGAATAAAATATTTGGAGGCAATGGAATATTTGCAAGATCTCCAAGTATCACCTCAGAGATTACTCACTAACTACAAAGCAGGAAATGTAGCTTTTCAGTGGAGAGACCCAGCAGTCTCCACTCTAATCAAGTGATCAGACTTAAGAACACCAAGAGGGACAATGTGACAGGAGGAGCCTCCTGATGAGATTTACTAAAAAGCCACAATAGTACCTGTTTAGGTTTCTCACCAAAAAAAATGTCAAATCTGAATCTAATCATAAGTAAGCAATCAGATAACTCTAGGGTAGAGTTTCTCAACCTCAACACCACTGATATTTGGGCTGGTTAATTCTTTATTGTGGGTACTGCTGTGTGCACTGAAAGATGTTTAGACACATCCCTGGTCTCTACCCACTACATGCCAGTAGCACCTTGCTATAGATTGAATGTTTGTGTCCCTCCAAATTTCATATGTTGATATCTTAATCCCCAAGGTGATACTATTAGGAGGTGGGACCCCTGGAAGGTGATTAGATGTGAGAGCAGAGGCTCATGAATGGGAATAATATCCTTATTAAAGCTATGGTTTTTCCAATAGTCATGTACGGATGTGAGTTGGACCATAACGAAGGCTGAGCCTCAAAGAATTGATGCTTTCAAATTGTGGCGCTGGAGAAGACTCTTGAGAATACCTTGGAATGCAAGGAGATTAAACCAATCAATCCTACAGGAAATCAACCTCGAATATTCATTGGAAGGACTGCTGCTGAAGCTGAAGCTCCAATCCTTTGGCCACTTGATGTGAAGAGCCAACTCACTGGAAAAGATACTGATGCTTGGAAAGAGGGCGTCCCCTGGTGGCTCAGTGGTAGAGAATCCACCTGCCAATGCAGGAGAACAGGAGATGCGGGTTTGATCCCTGTGTTGTGAAGATCCTCGGAGGGCATGGCAACCCACTCCAGTATTCTTGCCTGAAGAATTCCATAGTCAGAGGAACCCATAGGGTTTCAAAGGGTCAGACATGACTGATGCGACTTAGTAGACATGCACACACTCGAGGAAAGAGTGAAGGCAAAAGGAAAAGGGGGATGTAGAGGGTGAAATGGTTAGATAGCATCACCGACTCAATGGATATGATTTTGAGCAAACTCCAGGAGATAGTGAAGGACAGGGCAGCCTGGCACGTTGCAGTCCATGGGGTTGCAAAGTCAGACACAGCTTAGCAACTGAACAACAAAAACGACAAAAGAGGTCCAAGAAAGTTCCCTCCCTCCTTTCACCATTTGAGATTATAGCAAAACAAAAAAAAAAAGTCCATGAACCAGGAAGTGGGCCTTCACCAGACACTGAACCTTCTGGCATCTTGATCTTGAAATTCCCAGCCTCTAGAACTGTGAAAAAATAAAGTTCTATTGTTTACAAATGACTCAGTCTATGTTATTTTGTTATAGCAGTCCAAAGGGATTAAGATACACCTCTCAAGTTGTGACAACCAAAAATGGCTTCAAATATTGTCAAATTTACCCTGGAGGTAAAAAATCACCCTAGTTGAGAAATACTGATCTAGAATGCATTCTATAAGAGACAGCTCTTCCAAAAATCAACATTAGTGGGAAGGAGGGGGATGGCAGGGGAGGGGGTCATCTGTTCTACAATAAAAGAGACTAGATGTTAATGACCACATGTAATAGATACATTTTGATTGGATCTTGGATTTAAAGAAAAAAAAATGTCCATAGAAGTCATATATTAGAAATGTGGAGAAATTTAAATAGGCACAGCTTATTAGGTGACATTAATTTATTCTTGTTTTAGATGTCATAATAGTACTATAGTTACTTAGGAAGATCTTTATTCAAATCTTTGGGTATATACATGCAAAAATATTTAAGGGATAAGTATTACATTGATTGAAACTTGCTTGTAAATGGTTCAGCAAAAAATTAAGTGAGTGGGACGGGGGAGAAAGGAGGGGGAGAGGAAGACAGAGTTCACACACAGATGTTGGGGAAATGTTAGCAACTGATGGACTTCATGGAAGAGTTCATAGTTACTTTTCTTCCGACTTTTAATTAAGCTTGAAATTTTTCAAAATAACAATTTAAGTGGAAAATGATAAAATTCGTGGAGGAATAAAAAATAGGTTCAGGCAAAAACTGAAAGGTGTCATCTCATTAGTGTCATTTCATGCTACAGTTTTCATCCATGGATGTCCAGCTGGGTCTTTTTAAACATCTTTGGTCTTTATTTAAAATGCGCAATATTTACTCCAGCTTCTTAAACTTAGGGAATATAGCTACCTTCCATAAGTTTAAGAAGAATTGTCTACATTCTTGGTTTACTAATTCTATCTTCTGTGTCCCATCTGGATTGATTTTCATTAACTAATTTTTTTCCTACTTTTTATAGACCATAATATCTTGCTTATTTGCTTGTTGATAACTTTTTGTTGGACACTATTAATTTTATCTTGTTGGATGCTGTATATGTTTGAATTCCTATAAATTTTCTTGAGCTTTAAAAAATGATATTAGAGGCTGGAAAAATCACTGAGGGAAAGAATTAGATGGAGGAGAGGAGACTCTTAAGGAGAGGAATTCTGGTGAAACAAAGTCAGTTGAGAAAGTGGGGAAAAACCAGTGTGAAGTCCTGGAAGCTCAAGAAGAAAGCATTTCAAAAAACATAGTGTTAAACACTGTCACGTGCTGCTTTGAAGTTCAATAAGATGACAACAGAAAAATCCAACAAACATGGGCTTTGACCCAAGAAGTAGATCATTGGTGACCTTGATATTAATAAAACAGTGAGGACAAGAGCCTAACTGAAGTTGCTTGTGGAAAAATTAGATATGAGGAAGAATGAGAGTAAAGATAGACAATTCTGATGCTGAGGTTTGTTTAAGAAAAAGATATGAAGCAAGAGGTGGAAGGGGACATGGGCTTGGAGCAGGTTTTGGTTTTGCTTAGAAAGCATGATTCTGAAGATAGGGGATGTGAACACATATTTCCATGCCAGTAGGGATGATCTTCTAGACTGAAAACGGGTGAAGGAGGGAAGGAGCCGAGTAGGTGAGAGGGGGTAGGATCCAGAGGACAAGGAGGATGGGTTGGGTTGGTGGGAAGAGACGATGAAAGTGAAAGTGAAAGGCCCTGAGTTGTGTCCGACTCTTTGCGATCCCATGGACTGTACCGTTCACGGAATTCTCCAGGCCAGAATACTGGAGTGGGTAGCCTTTTCCTTCTCCAGGGGATCATCCCAACCCAGGGATTGAACCCAGGTCTCCCACATTGTAGACGATTCCTTACCAGCTGACCCACAAGGGAAGCCCAAGAATACTGGAGTGGGTAGCCTATCCCTTCTCCAGAGGATCTTCTCGACCCAGGAATTGAACCAGGGTTTCCTGCATTGCAGGCAGATTCTTTACCAACTGAGCTATCAGGGAAGCCGGATAGAGCTCCTCTAACGTGTCTGTCTTCCCAAGAAATCACTAAAAAGAGACACAATTAGGCTGAGGAGGAGATGCTACAGATTTGAGAGAAACATGAGATAGTATATCAGAAAGCAGACAAATGAAGGTGCTAGGAAATTGAAGCAGAATAGTGTGGCAGTGTTGCAAACTCGCCCATGGTCACACATCAAAAATGAGTTCAATCAATATAAGAAGGTGATGTTCTCACAATGTGCAAAGAGTAGAGCTAAAGTTATCCCATTATGATGACTTTATATTTTTAAATGACTGCTCAGCGACTTCCTTGGTGGTCCAATAGTAAAAAAAATCTGCCTGCCAGCTCAGGGGACATGGGCTCTGTCCCTGATCCAGGAAGACTCCACATGCCGCAGGGCAACTAGGCCCGCACTTTGCAAGAAGAGAAGAGAAGAGAAGCCCACACACCAAAACTAGAGAGCAGCCTCCACTCGCCGCAACTAGAGAAAGCCTGTGAGCAGCAGCAAAGACCCAGCACAGCCATAAATAAATAAATAACTTTATTGTTAAAAATAAATAAATAAATGACCTCTCAGAATCTGAGCCCCTTTCCTATCTCAGAACCCCATTCCTACATTTGGAAGCCCTCTCCCCGACCTTAGTCTCAGTGAGTGATATATCCCTCCTCCCAGCATAGAAGCTGAAATTTTCCACTTACTTTCTTAGTCTCCTTTGAGGATGGGCCTGAGCACATGATCTAGGTACAGCCAACCAGTGCACTGTCCAGAATATCAAATCAGGAGCTAAGGAATAAACAGAGATGATGGAGCATCATCACTGACAGTGGTAGAGGGGGTGACAGCAACATCCGGCTTCTGGCATCAGCGGTGGCAACCATAGCAGTGGTAGCCTCCAGTTCCCAGTGCCATCAACAATGTCACCGCACAGTTAGCTCTCGGATGGCAGAAGAGGTGTCCTCTCCAGACTGTCTGTGTGCATAATTTTGGTTGTGGGTCTCAGCACATAACCTCCAGCCTGGTTCTCCAGACCTCCCAGCAACTCTTGGAGCCAACCCATGTGTATGCAACCCAAATTACTTCATTTATAAAATGGCACATTAATATCATAAAACCACTGAGTTAACTTTTGGATTAAGTAAGCAAATTCAGTGTCCTATATCAGGTGTATTTTGTGGCCCAAATGAACAGATACGATCTCTCATGATAAACACAGTTTACAAGTTTTCTGCTTATCCTGAGCCTTACGGTTAAAGGTTAGATTCCTGTGAGATTAAACAAAAACAAAAAGCCTCTTGTCCTCTAATAGATGACTATCTTATGGAACATCTTTAGTTCCTTCTTTCTCAGTCCCAGTAAATACATTGAAAAGAACTGTTATGATGATGACAAGGAAGCAAGCATGTATAGTTTAATCATAAATTAGATCTTTGTTGATGCTTGACTAATCCCCAACAGTGCTAACTTTTTCTCTTCCTTCTCTTTCTAAGATGGCAATAACCAGCAAAACACCTGCCTTCTCAAATAATTTTGGCAAAAATATGTTTCCTTTTCAGTCTCCCCTCAAACACCCTTGTGACCAATCATTTCTTTTGATTTTATTGGGTTGGCCAAAAAGTTCTTTCTGGTTTTTCCATAACATCTTATGGAAAAATCCAAACAAACATTTTGACCAACTCAACAACTGCTAGCAACTCTATCTTTTGTGTCTTTTTTTTTTTGGTTTCATTGCATTGGTTAAAACTCTCAGATCATTATTAAGTAATGAGGTGAGATGACTCTGGGTGTTTTTTCAGTCATGCAGGGGACAAATGTAAATCAATTCTCCAGCATACCTGTAACTCTAGACTTTGGGAGGGGGTAACATGGGAATCTGATGTGTATGCCTCAGTCCAGAAACCACCCCCGCCCCAGGCTGCACAGCAGGAAATGAGCACCCGGCAAAACTGAAACCACCCCCCACTCTACCCCATGGAAAAATTGTCTTCCACAAAACCAGTCCCTGAAGCCAAAATGGTTGGGGACCACTGCATTAATCCATTCACTCATCCATCCATCCAATATGGAAAGAGTGACTGTAAGTAAAAGTGTTAGTTGCTCAGTTGTGTCCAAGCCTTTGCGACCCCATATAGCCCAACAGGCTCCTCTGTCCATGGGATTCTCCAGGCAAGAATACTGGAGTGGGTTGCCATTTCCTTCTCCCGGTGATCATCCCGACCCACGGATCAAACCAGGTCTCTTGCACTGCAGGCAGATTCTTTACCATTTGAGCTACCAAGGAAGCCCCAGAGAGTGACTACTACCCACCAAACTGTTTTAGGTACTGAAAATACCCCAGTGAAAGCGACATCGTTCCTGCTCTCACAAAGCTTCCTGTCTAGCAGAGTAGACATAATAGATAACAAACAAACAAACTAAAAGGCAATTTCACCAGTGACAAGTGCTTCTTTAAAAAAACAGCATGAGGGGCTTGCCTGGTGGCCCAGTGATAAAGAATCCATCTCCCAGTGCCGGAGACACAGGTTCATCCCTGGTCCCAGAAGATCCCACAGGCCATGGAGCAACTAAGCCCCTGCACCCCAGCTACTGAGCCAGCGCTCTAGAGCTTGGGAACCACAACTATTGAGCCCAGTGCCACAAATACTGGAACCTGTGGGCCCTAGAGCCCTGCTCCAGAACAAGAGAAGCCACGGAAATGAGAAGCCCGCTCATGGCAACTAGAGAGTAGCCCCTGCTCACCATAGCTAGAGACCCAGCAGAGCCAAAAATAAACAAACAAGTAGATAAAATAAAAAAACAAAACAAAACAGCGTGAGGACATAGTGGCTTCTCTTTCCAGGGATCTGCAAGCTAATCTGAGTATGACTTTGTATCAAGCCTAAAAAGCTTGAAATACATTACACATGGCTAATACATCACGCAGCTGGGCCCTGGCCTCCTGGTGAGTAGATCAGGTCTCCCAAAGTCCTGCTATCAGGATGCACCAGGTGTCCTGATAGAAGAGGGGGAGGCCCACCAGCAGCTGCTCAGGAGCGGGGGGACAGGGGCACAGTGGCAATTGCGATCTTTGCTTTCAGCCTATTGTGATGTGCTGCAGCTTAAGTGAGCCCAGTGAAACAGATTTTCTGATGATATTATCCAGTTTGCACTAAACCAACCCTCCAAGACTGGACACACGCCTTGCACAGATACACAGATTGAAGATAAACCAGTAAAATGAGTACATGCCCCAAACAAGGAAACAGCAGACTGGACACCTCTCTTATTTCTGGTAGAAGTCCTTCTACAGCCATGTATGATATGAAAACAATGGTGAACTAAGATTTGATAAAAATCTGGCAAATGAGCAACAGAACAGGAGAGAGAGATTATCAAAAAGAATGTTTGAACTACATGTTTACATCCACACTAATTAATGCTTTTGACCCTGAGCATATAGTCAGTTTTGAGAAAATTATAGCAGCAGTGTGAGTAATTATAAATACAGTAAGTAACTAGAATAATCAGTAGCATGTGCTCAAAAATATGTTGTTTAGCCTCCCCACAGGGAAGCTCTGTTGTCAATGGTAGAATCACCTAAATCTGAAAATCATTTGGTGAGAGCAAATTTCTCAATGGATCCAGGACTACTCTTAATCCATCAGCACAATATTGGACCCAAAGTAGGTGCCCTGCACTCCAAAATTTGTTCAAACATATTTGACGGTGGGCAATCAATCTCCTGCCTGTAAAATGGGGGTGATCACACCTGCTCTTCCTCGGGCCCCAGGTCTGGTGGGCAGATCAAATTCCACCTCCTTCCTGTCTCAGACTCTCTGTTCTCACTGCAAGTACCCAGCTCAGGCCTCACACTGCTGACCACCTGGGACACCTGCATCATCTCCTTGTGGATTCCCCCACCTCCCATCTTGCTTACCTCCATTTCACTCTGGCTCTGAATGATCCTTCCAACATGCCTAAAAGCTTGGGTGGCTCTCTGCTGCTGGTTGGATACAACCCACATTTCTCAGCCGGGTACACAGGGCCTTCAAGAACAGGATCCCAGCTTCACCTCACCTCCTCTAGACACCCCATCCCATCTCATCAAGCACCCAATAGACAAACTACTTATAGTTCTTTGCAAATATCTCCAAGGTCATCAGTCCCACTTGACACATCTCTCTGTTTATTTCTTCTAACTCTCTGGGTTGAGTCTGAATAGAATCTCTTCCACCAAACCTTCCTTGACTCATCCCCTCCCACATCTGGGCTGAAGACCAGCCCTCTTAGTGCCCTTATTACAGTGGTTGTTATTTCTGGTTTTGTTCTTTGATCTCCACTCCTCAAAGGGCTTCCCAGGTAGCTCAGTGGGTAAAGAATCCACATGCCAATACAGGAGATGCAAGAGACTAGGGTTCAATCCCTGGGTCGAGAAGATCCCCTGTAGGAGGGCATGGCAACCCACTCCAGTATTCTTGTCTGGAGAATCCCATGGACAGAGGAGTCTGGTGGGCTACAGTTCATGAGGTCAAAAAGAGTCGGACACGACTAAAGTGACTAAGCACGCACTCTTTGAAAGCAGGATGTAGATCTACAACCAGAGTTGCAGTGAAGAGGCTTCAATCAATATCTGCTGCAAGGATAACTAGATAAAAGAATGAAATACTCAATGTGGGGAGGGTGTTCAGATGCTCATTTAAGATCTCAATCAAAAGCTCCTGCAGATTCCCCACAAGGAAGGATAAACCTTGTAGAAATCCATCCTTCAGGGATGTCAATCACTCTATAAGGCTCCAAACCTTGCCTCTAGCCTTGGGTTTGGCCCCCATCTTTCCCTGGACTGTGCTGTCTTCTACACGTACACCTGCTCTTTCTCTCTTTGTCATCAGATTGCAAACCTGTGCCCTGAGTACTCTCTCAGCAGCAAGCGTCTGGATCTGCAGGCTTGGGGAAGGCACACATCTTGGTCTTTTGCCCTGAACACATACAGGAAGTGAGCCAGCCAGGCAGGCAGCCACAGCTATATTTAGATTTCTGTCACCTGATGGGGTCACCCATTAATCAGGGGACAGTGACAGCTGTGGCATTTCGGGAGTAAACTGAGGTGGGTCCTTGGGCAGTGAGGAGGGGGCTAGATGTCTGGGCAGCGACCCCAGATTCATTCAATCAAGACACAGGGCAGAGATGAGAATGCGTGGCTTACATGAAAGCAGGAAAGATGGAGGTCAGACCCAAGGGGGACCGGGACTTGAGGGAGAAATCAGTGCCTGGCTTGGGCACAGGAGGAGCCTGGAAGATCAGTAGGAGGAGTGCCTCAGCTGGTCGGGCCCCTTCCTGCTGGGTGAGCTGCGGCTGAGTGAGTGGCTCTCTGACAGGCAGTAAGCCCAGCCATGGTCAGCAGAAAGAGCTGTGGTCACCAGACCCCATCCACAAGGGAGAAACAAGAAAGAAGCAGGCATGCAGGATTTTTTTTTTTTTTTCAAGCCCTAAAGGCACTCCTTGCCCTAGATTTGGTTTATTAAATGACTGCCCTGGGAGCCAGGGAATAGGTCTTAAGTCATCATTGATCCAGTTGCTTTTCCTTCCTTTATCTCTAGAATACAACCCCACCCCCTGGTGGAGCCATTACAAGAATCTCCTGGGACTTCCCCGGTGGTCCAGTGGTAAAGACTGAACTCACAAAGCAGGCGGCCCGGGTTTGATCCCTGGTCAGGGAACAAGAACCCTCATGCCGCAACTAAGACCCGGCACAGCCAAATTAATTAGGAAAAAAAAAATGAATCTCTTGCCCTGACTTTGCCCCTCTG